TTATTTAGGAGTTTCGTTGCCCTGCGGGCTCCGGAGTTAAACTCATCCCACAGAGAAAAGATATTTTTCTAAAGGTCTCGGGAATTTTTCCACTGAATACACCAAAACTTCTCCGAAACGAGCTTGATTCCTCTTACTAACCAAACTTTTTGTCTTAACATCAAGACAGAGTGCTCTTACCTGGAACTTTATTTCTTGATATTAGAATCCCATCTCTTTCACGAGTTAAAAAGGCAATGATGTCAAAACAACGGCCATGTTTGTCTAATACGGCAGCCATCGTGAAAGGAAGTGCAACTTTTGTGGTCTAGTAACTTTTTATGCAGTGGCTTGGCTGTTTTTGTGTGGATATCAAATTATAGAACTGTCACCTAAAACTTCATCTCTCGATGTTAGAATCCCATCTCCTTAATGGGTGGGAAAGAGTATGATGTCGAAGATCGGCCATGTTAGTCTTATATGGCCACCATCTTGAAACGAAATCCAACATCTGATGTCTAATAACGTTTTTCTTAGTACCTTGCTAGGTTTTGTCTTTACATCAAGAAAGAGTGCTCTCGCCTGAAACTTTATGTCTCGATATCAGAATCCCATATCTTTCACGGGTTGAAAAGGGGATGATGTGTAAACAACGGCTATGTTTGTCTTATATGGCAGCCATCTTGGAAGGAAGTGCAACTCTGGCCTAATAACCTTTTATGTAGTAGCTTGGTAGTTTTTGTGTGGATATCAAGATATAAAACTGTCACCTAAAACTTCATCTCTCGATGTTAGAATCCCATCTCTTTAACGGGTGGAAAAGAATATGATGTCAAACATCGACCATGGTAGTCTAATTTGGCCTCAATCATGAAACGAAGTCTAATAACGTTTATGTCTAAAAACGTTTTTCTTAGTACCTTGCTAGTTCTTGTCTTTACATCAAGAGAGTCAACTCTCGTCTGGAACTTTTTCTTCATATTAGAATGCTATTTCTTTCACGAGTTGAAAAGGTGATGATGTCCAAAAAACGGCCATGTTTGTCTAATAGGGCCGCTATCGTCTAAACGAAGTGCAACTTTTCTGGTCCAATAACTTTTTATGTACTAGCTTTGCAATTTTTGTGGGCACATCCAGGTAAAAAACTATGACCTGGAACTTCATTTCTTGATGTTAGAATCTCATCTCTCTATCGGTTGGAAAAGAGTATGATGTCAAACATCGGCCACGTTAGTCTTATGTGGGCGCCATCATGAAAGTCCAACATCTCATGTCAAATGAAATCTTTTGTAGTACCTTGCTAGTTGTGTCTGTAAATGTCCAAACAACAGCCATGTTTTTCTAATATGGCAGCCATCATGAAGGGAAGCGCAACTTTTCTGGTCTAATAACTTTTTATGTAGTAGCTTGGTAGTTTTTGTGTGGATATCAAGATCTAAAGCTGTCACCTAAAACCTCATCTCTCGATGTTAGAATCCCATCTCATCATCGGATGGAAAAGAGTATGATGTCAAACATCGGCCATGTTAGTGTTATATGGCCGCCATCACGAAACGAAGTCCAACATCTGATGTCTAATAACGTTTTTCTTAGTACCTTGCTAGTTTTTGTCTTTACATCAAGACAGGTTACTCTCGCCTGGAACTTTATCTCTCGATATTAGAATCCCATCTCTTTCATGGGTTGAAAAGGGAATGATGACTGAGTGTAATATGGCCGCAATCTTGAAACAAAGTGCAACTTTTCTAGCCTAATAACTTTTTTTTGTATTAGCTCAGTAGTTTTTGTGTGGATATAAGGGTAAAAAAAAACTGTCATCTAGAACTTCATCTCTCCATGTTAGAATCCCTTCTCTTCAACGGGTGCAAAAAAAGAGTGTGATGTCAAACATTGACCATGTTAGTCTTACATAGCCGCCATCATGAAACGAAGTCCAGCATCTCATGTCTAATAACGTTTTTCTTAGTACCTTGCTAGTTTTTGTCTTTACATCAAGACAGACTACTCTCGCCGGGAAGTTAATCTCTCGATATTAGAATCCCATCTCTTTCACGGGTTGAAAAGGGGGTGATGTTGAAACAACGGGCGTGTTTGTCTACTTGTGATATGGCAGCCATCTTGAAGGAAGTTCGACTTTTCTGGTCTAATAACTTTTTATGTAGTGGCTTTGTAGTTTTCGTGCGGATATCAAGATATAAAACTGTCACCTAAAACTTGATCTCTTGATGTTAGAATGCCATCTTTTCATCGCTTGGAAAAGAGTATGATGTCAAACATCAGCCATGTAAGTTTAAAATGGCCGCCATCATGAAACGAAGTCCAATATCTAATAACGTTTTTCTTAGTACCTTGCTAGTTTTTGTCTTTACATCAAGACAGACTGCTCTTGCCTGGAACTTTATCTTTCTGTATTAGAATCCCATCTCTTTCACGGGTTGAAAGGTGGAAGATGTCAAACAACGGCCATGTTCGTGTAATATGGCCGCTATCTTGAAACTAAATCATGCAACTTTTCTGGTCTAATAACTTTTTTGTATTAGCTTAGTAGTTTTTGTGTGGATATTAAGGTAAACAACTGTCACCTAGGACTTTATCTCTCGATGTTAGAATCCCGGGTGGAAAAGAGTATGATGTCAAACATCGGCCATGTTAGTCTTATATGGCCGCCATTATGAAACGAAGTCCAACATCTCATGTCTAATAACGTTTTTCTTAGTACCTTGCTAGTTTTTGTCTTTACATCAAGACAGTTAACTCTCGCCTGGAACTTTATCTCTGGAGGTAAAAAATTATCAACTCTGTGTATCGTGAAGACAAGTGATGCCCTTACCAATGTACTTTTACACAAAATAACTTTGAACGGCTATAGACTGATACTGAGTACATGGCACAATGTTTTTCTTGTTTTAATATATGACAGCATTTATGAAAACCGTGTTAAGACTTTGCACCAAAATAGCGGGCATGTTTTTGGAAAATTGGTCAGATATAAATATATGATAAGTTGTGAAAATGATCACGACCATAATAGAGATGGTTTATACAATATTTAGTCTAACCAAGTCTCAATTGAAATGGTTATAATAACAAATTATGTTTTTCATTTTAAGGTTTGGAGAAAATCAATTTCTCTGGTGGAGAACCCTTGATCCACAAACGTGGCGAGTTTGTGGGAGAGCTGACACGCTACTGTAAGAGAGATCTGGGACTAGACTCTGTCACGATTGTGTGTAATGGAAGCTTGGTTACGGAACAGTGGTTTAAAAAATACGGTAAGCTTTCTTGCAGTTTTATAGCAGATAATATCTAACGTTAGTACTAAGTATACATAGGTGATTCACTGAAGAGAGAAGCACGGTTGCCTGATCATTAATTCAACGGAATCTGAATCGAGCGGCCCGTGCGCTAGCAATAACTGGAGTTGTGTACGATCTTCTTTCGTTTTCTTGTACGCTTATATTTCTTATTTTTGTGCACGCTCTTCCATACATTCATTACTTGCAAAAAATTTTGGACGATTTAAATTTCGGACAGTGAAACCGTACGAAAGTTTTAAGCATCCGAATTATTTATATTAATTCTTGGGCGATGCCATCACATATACGTAAGGCCAATATACGTGCTAGAGCAAGAACTTGGATTAGGCTTTGCTCTTTCCTTTTATCACTGAAAGGGAAACGTTTGTTTCTGTTATGGAAAACATAATGCAGAGAAATTCCATTCTATCATTTTCACAGATGTTGTATCAGTGTTACTCGTGTTTTGAAGGCGAAAATTTACTTTACTACGTTTCAGAAAAGTGTACGAAATTGTTGTCCGAAACTTGCCGAACTGGGATAAAAAGTGTCCGAAAATTAAGCGTCCGAAATTTTTTGCATGTTACAGGATTTCGTGTAGTCCAATTCTGTAATATTCACATTTGTGATTAAACAAATCGGAACATACCGAATTGGACTCAACTCAGTTCGATAAACAGTACAAATCGTACATAAGGTGCTAAAATATCACATCGCGTTTTAAGGTGAATTTCTGGACATAATGGCCGTGTCGTGCGACAGTTTCAACGAAGAGAAAAATCGTCAAATTGGACGCCATCAGTCTGGGAAGGGCAACCTGAAGTGTCTACGGAACGTACGGGATTGGTGCAGGAAATATCACGTGGCTTTCAAAATTAACACTGTAGTTAACGTTTACAATGTTGATGAAGACATGAATGAGAACATTCAAGAACTCGCTCCAGTTCGATGGAAGGTGAGCAATATATTCCGCGAGATTGTAACTGATTATGATATTGGTAACAACTTTGGAAACGAATATCACACGATAACGCTGACGATGATAATAACGGTAACAATAACGATGACGATAACGATGATAATAGCGACAATAACGATGACGGTAACGCTAACGATAATAATAACAACAATAACGACGAGGATAACGATAACGCTAACGATGACAATAACGACAACAATAACGATGTCGATAACGACAACAGTAACTATAATGATATTAAGAAGGGTAATGATAACAACAACTGTTTCAATAATGTCTAACCTGAGCTCAAACGAGCGATGGTTGATTACTAGAAATTATAGAGAACCATGGAAAAGTCATTAGCATGGTAAGTAATCCATATAAGGAAAAACTGAATCAATTGCAAATCTAAGAAAATTACAAATAAATGGTTAAATGCATATGTATTCAATTTTTTCGATTAATCGCCGGACCCCGAAAAAACATCGGGTATCCAAGGTCGAGTTTAAACAAGCCTCTCTTGAACGTTTATTCGAGGTGCAATAAGGTATCAGGCCGCACGTAGGCTAAATGCATGGCTATCAAACTAATGACTTAAAAACTCTGAGAAGTCTAATAAATGGCTTGTTCATCAGGCCAAGGCTCGTTAAATCGAGAAGATATGCTATTTTATTTTTTCACTGATGCCGGGTTCAAATTCAAACTACTCACCCTTTTACAGGTTGTTCACGTACCTTGAGGAATATTTTTTTCATTTTCAATACTCAGGTATTCCAGTGTCTTCTGATTGAGGGAGAGAACTCTGGCTCAGACGCCTTACGAGACGCAGAAAAGTTTGTGATTTCTGATGATGCCTTCAATATGTTTGTCGAAAGGCATTCCAAGTTGTCATGCCTAGTTCCGGAATCAAATGCAAAGGTGCAATAATTGATTGAATCAGAGAGACTTGAAGTTGATTTGTGCAGCATAGAAGGGTTTTCAATTGAGTGTCGTAAAACCAATTCCAAACCAATTACTTACGAAACGCCATTGAAAACCGCTCTCGTATAGAAACGTAATGGTTTGATATCATAGTAACTGGTCTTATAGCACGCACCTTTTACTCATTCGAAAGACATAGTGCGGACAAGATGACAAAAGGCCAAAAACAGCGTACAGATATAAGTTTTGTCACTTTTTGCAGTGCCAGTTCAGTTGTTTCAAAGGATTGACCTCGAATGCAAAGAAAAGTTTAATAAAAACATAAATTTCGGCAGCATGTATTCGAATTGCGCTAATGAACAATTTTTTTTGCAATAGAACGGCGGTTTCTTAAACCGTTCTTAAACCGTGGCTCTGATAGGGTCTGATAGGGTAAAAGTGTTTCTTTGTTTCATTGCTTTTCCTTTCGGAAAGGTATCTCAGCAATTCTTCATATTTTATTCTATTTATACAGATGCAGAATTCTTATCTTATTCTGGACGAATACGTAAGTATCAAGACGGCTTTTGCGTTCGAGTACTGGCCGGAGTCGCTCCAGTATTGTAGTTTTGGTCAGGAAACTTTTCTTTTGGTGTACAGATGGGCCATTTATCTGATTAATCGCTGAGGGAGGGGAGGGGGAGAGGCAAAACCTGGGATAAACTAGCATCTTACAACCTTACATTTAGAAAGATCATTCTTGGGTTGGACGAATAAAAAATTGGACTTGAACCATTTCTCCAAACAGATTGACTTCCCTTGTTACAATTGCTCTAATTGAGAAAGTTAATCAGACAAAAAAAGATAGAAGTATCTAATTACGACTTATTTTCTGTATTCACCTCTGCATGTCATTTCAGATGCGTTTTCTGGACTGCAGATCTGGAGCTAAAGTTCCATCAAAATCCTTGTTGGATGTGGGAGTTAAGAATGCTATTGATGCCAGTGGCTTTGACGAGCAGATGTTCTTTAAACGAGGCGGTAAATACACATGGAGCAAGGCTGAAATGAATCTAGAGTGGTAGACTAATCATGCCATAAGCCAGTTATTAACCGGGCTGAATATTTACATTGGCAGTTGTAAGGTAGCTCGTAGACAGAGGAGTATATTAGAAAGATAGAAAACACTTTTTCTCTTCAAATTAAGGATAGCAGAAATGATAATAAATAATAATTTCCTGTAAAGACTGTTTTCTCCGTAACAACTAGTTACTGATTCTGTTGGTTTACCTTTTCTTTTGTGACACGTTTAACTTGTTCTTTACTGTATATAACATTATGTGATTGTCGAAATGTAGTAAGCCGGGTCCCCCAGGGCCGTAGCTAATAAGAGACAGACCGAGACACTTGCCTCAGTCATTGTTTTTCGTTTTTGTTGTTTATAGTCAACAGAAACACACTAAATATCTAGGAAGAGAACTGAACCATGGACATTACCTCAGTCATAGGGTGCTTTCCATTACGCCAGATTGACCGGTTAAAGACCAGCGGAAATACCCGACGAAAATGGAACGACATTTTCCAACCAAGAGGAATGGCTCTTACCATTTTTTATTCCTTCTCCGAGTTCCCTACATAAGTGAAGAGAACCGGTTTGTCACAATATTCCGACCGAAATAAGTGGACCACCTCCATTTGACTTCTAAGCGAAATTTCCGGAAGCTTTGGCATAATGGAAAGCATCCATAATTTTTTCCTAGCTACGGCCCTGTGTCCCCAGTTAGCGTTCCCCAGTTAGCGTTCCCCAGTTAGCGTTCCCCAGTATGCTAGATGATTTGACAGAATAATAAAAGTTCTTACATTTATGAATTGTTTGAGCGTCGCGGATATTTTTCTCGAAGCGAGCTTGGCTTTCGCAGCTTGACTTGTAGGAAGTGTACAGCATTGTGTTTTCCGGTTCTTAATGCTCAGTTTTTCTCGGTCGTGTCTTCAGAGGAATATTCACCTGGTTTGTACGCGCCTGTCTTTTGTCTTTGTCGGTGATTTGTAAACCACACCTGAACCTGAAAATGGTTAAGCACATTGACTCACAGAATCCCACAGTATCCTAGGCTCCCTCGCAAGTAACCGCCAGTTGAACTTGCGTAGAAATTTACGTTGGGTGGCCAAACGGACTCTCAACTTTCCCTACAAGTACACGCAAGTCGCGGAAAAAAAATTCAAGGCCGCCATCATGAAAACCCCGCAGGCATATCCTGTATTTCATTCGCTAATAGGTTGCTATAGCAAAGAATGGACGTCACTCAACTTGCGCGTAAATTCGAGTTGATCAAATAGAGCGCAAGTCATCGCTAGTCAACGCAAGTGCACGCAACGCTTAGCAAAACGGACTCGCAAGTAGATTTTTAGGCATAGAAATATAAATAAGCCCCCTTTTCTCCAAACTCGTTCCCAGTGTAAAGAGGGATATTGAGCATGACAGTGTACTGTTAATCAGCAACATTTTTTACATACATGTACGCTAACTAGAGAATAGTTAGCTTGCGAGCGGGCGCTGCGGCACGTGCGAGGGCGAAGCTGCGAGAGGGACGAATAGGCGAGCGAAGCGAGCTGTCGAGGTTACTCACGTTTCAAATCGTAAAACACGTTAGCTGTTTTCGCGATTGCCCTACCGGACATTAGGGAAAACTAAAGAATGTTTACCGTAGACAGATTTACCTGACGTTTCTTCAGCTGCAGTGTTGAAGAGATTATCCTTACTGTCTCGGGCTCAGGTCTCCCGTTGCACTTAACAAACATCTCGTCCAGCATAACCTTCTGCCACTTCATGATTTTAGCCGGTTTCTGTGTTTTCCTGATTTTTGGAGGCGTTGGCGACGATGTTGTGGCTGCGGCTGTAGCAGTGCGCTTTCTTTTTAAATTTGTTTTATCCGCCCGGCTGTCCAGAAAGAACTGTCTTGCAGTGCTGTTACTTAGAAACTCTTTCATCTTCATCCACATCACCTTCCCAGTTCCTTTGGGTAAGAATGGCGGAGGTCGCTTTAGCATGTCAGTAAGATGTGATTTTGAACGGCCGATATACTTGGCGAACGCTGAACGCGCAACACCATAGTTATCCAACCACTTTGCTAAACAGTCAGCAATTTCTGGAGGGTTTTCCGGCTCCGAATCCTTATCTACCTCTTGACCTCCATCTTCGACTGCTGCATTCCTCGGTTGGTCAGAAGGGCAACTCTCACCATCTTCATTAAATTCTTCGCTTTCTTGATCTTCACACTGAGTGGTCGGAATCTCATGGATCTCAAATTCAATTGATTTCTTTTCGCGGATTTCACGCAGAGCCTCCAGCAACGAATCCTTCTGATCCTCACACACTTGAATTTGAAAGCTGTAGTTCATCTCTTTTTGTATGAACGAGAGTGTGATAAACACTTTGTCTAAGCGCTTGAACTCTTTTTCTACACAATGCTGTTATTATCTCTTTACAGCTTTCGAGTTCAATATTTGCAGCACTTCTGACACCGCCGCTGGGAAAGAGAGGAATCCGAATGTAGTTTTTTTTTTGAGCTGTAAAAAAATGTTTTTAAAACAAACTTAATAAACAAACCTGAAGTTGTAGAAAGCTGATGGTTCAATGAAACCGGTGTGCTGCATCAAGCGGACTGACACAACAACTCGGCTTTACCTAGGCCAAACGTTCGGCGTAGAAACCAACCGGCTATCCGCAGAACAACCTTCAAACATTTGGCCTCAATCCAAATGGAAAAAAATGAAGAGAAAAGAACCGGCAAAACTGATAAACTATTCCAAAGCGTGGAACAAAATCGCACCTCAATCGTTCGATTGAGTAAAATTATAAATTATGAAGCGATATATCAAACTCACGGAAATTAGTAATTTCGAAACTAGAATTCTTGATTAATACTTGACTGTGAGACTAGCCATTGTACACTACTTTCTAACTGGAATTTTGCGATTTTTACTCGGTCGGCGACTCAAACTCACAGTTTCTGTATTGGCTTACGTGTTCGATTTCGTTCGATAACTAAACAAAATCGAATCCATTCGTTCGATTTTATAGTTTGATAACAATTTTGTTCGATTTTGAAATTTCTTTACCAAAAGCTGCCAAAAACTCAAGCTATCTTTGGATTGATTGACAAAGCAACCTTTATAAAACATGTCTCATGTCTTACCTCTTCTAGTAGAAGTTTTCCTGGATCAACAAACAACAAAGACAAAACGCTAAAATGGCTGACACAAAGAACTGGGTTCCAGTCTGCTCACGGTAACAGTGAAAAATTTTACATTAGACTGGACTCGCGAATAGAAACCATCAGGATCGAAACGTTTGACAACCAATACTGCAAAGAAGCTAATGATAAGTCTAAACGTTGATACTTTTATTGCATTAGAAAAACTTGAAATAGAGGTCAAATGATAGCCAATGGGCAAGTCGATCTACTTAAAAAATTTTCTAAAATAAAAAGGCGTTTTGACTAGCTATTACAAAAGAATTGTAAAATTCATGCCCAAGTTTTATTACGTGAATTTTTAACTTGAACTTTCAATGAATAACGCTCGGATGATCCGATCTGATTGTTATAACAGTCCGACCTAGTCCATCTAGTCCAGTCCAGGCCCGTTCAATTTTTTTCTTAATTTTCATATCCACCGTAGGCAGACTGGTTTCGAGGCTTTGGACGAACAACGCTTCGGTTTTCCTGTAGTTGAGGTAAGATATTGTTTTTTAAGATTCTCTTTGGTACTCCATGGGCTTCGATTTAATGAAAGAAGGATTGGGGTTACAGACTGCATGTTTTGTACGACAGATGGGTGGAGAATCAAAGCTTTTTCTAGACGTAAATATTGGCCAGTTTCGTGTACATAACCTGACATAACAGGTCATATAAACAGACATTTACCATTTTGTTGTCTTGCTTTGCTGACACCTCCCACAGAGATAGAACGAGACACTCCCAGTGAATGCTCGATTCGAATATACCTTGCCACTGGCATGAATAATTAAATGTTCAGTTCAACAGCCAACCAATATATTCAGTTGCTCTTTAATTGTCATCTGTCATTTGGCCCTTAAAAATAAAGTCAAGAATTCAATAAGTGATGTCAATTAAGACCGTTCACCCCGCACCCCCCTCCCCCCCCCAAAAAAAAAACACTTGTGATGAACTCAAACTTGGCAAAGTTGACTTAAAAAACATAATTTTTATGCACTGGGTTGGGTCTAGCCAGAGACAGGAAAATGTTACACTTTTGGTCACGATGCATGGGCCTAAGTTCTGTGCTTGCTCTGTAAATTATGGCACGTAGCCAAATATTTTCCCATCTGGGCCTCCCACAAACCAATGAAAAAACCTGGATAAATTTGCTAGTGTTCACAGGACTCCCACTTGTAAGGATCACACTAGATTAAGATAAGTAAGAATTCTTCTTTGTGGAATGTTAACCCAACATAAGTATTGCACCATGTTAAATCATTACATTGAATCAACCCAAAGAAAGTCATGATGCATTTCAAATGATAACAAAATATTGAATTTAACTTGAAAAACTACTGATTAGTAAACTGATACTACTGGTAACTTGCTTTTTTTGTTAATTTTCAGGAAATTGAACATTCTTTTCTGCCAAAGTAAATTCATAAACAAGATGCCTCCAAAACGCTATGAATGCAAGGAATGTGGCAAGTATTTCAGCAAATCACCACATCTAAGAGATCACTTACGAACACACACAGGAGAAAAGCCTTTCAAGTGCGAGCATTGTAACAAGTGCTTTAACCATTCAGGAAACCTTCGAAAACATAATAGAATACACACTGAAGAGAAGCCTTTTAAGTGCAAGCACTGTGAGAAGAGCTTCCGCCAGGCAGCAAACATGCGACAACACACTAGAATCCACACAGGAGAGAAGCCTTTTAAGTGCCAGCATTGTGACAAGTATTTCAGGCACTCAGGGAGCCTTCAGAAACACAATAGATTACATACAGGAGAAAAGCCTTTCAAATGTAACCATTGTGACAAGAGTTTTAGGCAAGCAACAGGCCTTAAAGTACATAACAGATATCACACAGGTGAGATGCCTTACAAGTGCAGTCATTGTGACAAAGGTTACAGTACAGCATCAAGCCTTCAAGGACATGTCAGATCACACACAGGCGAGAAGCCTTTTAAGTGCGAGTTTTGTGACAAGTGCTTTAGACATGCAATAACTCTGACCGAACATAGACGAAAACACACTGGAGAGAAACCTTTTAAATGTGAATATTGCTCTAGATGTTTCACCAAAGCAAACAACCTTCAGCAACATATACGAATACACACAGGTGAGAAACCTTTTCAGTGCAAGCATTGTAACAAGTGTTTTGCCAGGAAGGGAAACCTTCAACAACATAACAGAATACATACGGGAGAGAAACCTTTCATNGAGAAGCCTTTTAAGTGCGAGTTTTGTGACAAGTGCTTTAGACATGCAATAACTCTGACCGAACATAGACGAAAACACACTGGAGAGAAACCTTTTAAATGTGAATATTGCTCTAGATGTTTCACCAAAGCAAACAACCTTCAGCAACATATACGAATACACACAGGTGAGAAACCTTTTCAGTGCAAGCATTGTGACAAGCGTTTTGCCAGGAAGGGAAACCTTCAACAACATAACAGAATACATACAGGAGAGAAACCTTTCATGTGCCCACAGTGTGGCCGGTGTTTCCGTCATGAAAAATCTATTCAAGTTCATCTGAAAACACATGTTGTTAGTGAGGTGTCTGTTAATGATAGTCATTATGGTAACCTTGTCACACCTGCTACCCCACAAGGCAGACCTGGATCCATGCAAGACAGACTTGCATCCATGCAAGACACGCCTGCATTCCCACAAGAAAGCACTCAAGCCACACCAGCTTGTATGATTGAACTGTTGGATTTGTCAGATGCTAATGGTATTTGGTAGCAAAACCTTACTTTAGAAACACTACAATCATATGGAATTATTACTTTATTTAGATAGGTGAAAAATAAACAGTGAGGAAAATGAGTCCATGGCAAGAGTCAAAACCATAACCTTCTGGTCAGATGCTTTAACCACTGGTCACCCAAGCATAATATAAGGGTTTGTATGAAGAACTATGGCTGAAATATCAGAGTTTGTATGGAGATTAGGAGATGACATTGAAATCAATAAATGTATGTGTAATTTACCTAATAAAGACTCTTGAACATTCAATGGTGTCATTTTTCTCATCCTGGCTATTTAAATGAGATTTGAGCAAATTTTGATAATTAGCCTATGGTGTTAAACATATTAAAATTTGCTCAAATCACCCCAGGATGAGAAAAAATGACACCATTGAATGTTCAACAAGCTTTATTGATTTCGATGTCATATCCTAATCTCCACATAAACTCTTATATTTCAGCCACAGTTCTCCATACAAACTCTTATATTATGCTTGGGTTACCTGTGCTCTAACCTTGAGCTACAAGGACACCCATAAGGAGCTAGGTCATTCACTTTGTTTGTACATGAACCTTATAAGTGAAACGTTTTGTTCCTGCTGGGTACAAGAAGAGAAATAACTAGTTTATGAACTGTTTAGTTGCGTTTGAGTTTGATCATCACTCTTTCTCTCTGAATTTCTGTAGAGGATTTCTATGGTACTCATTTTGGTGTTTTCAAACAGGAGAATTAATGTTGGTAAAAGAAAGGAACTCATTTCCCAAAGAAGAAAAATGGCATTGTTTGGAAACACCAATGTGGCCTGTGGCTGCTGTGACCATAGACATAGTTAATAGGAAACATCACCTTATAAGTGAAACGTTTTGTTCCTGCTGGGTACAAGAAGAGAAATAACTAGTTTATAAACTGTTTAGTTGCGTTTGAGTTTGATCATTGCTCTTTCTCTCTGAATTTCTGCAGAGGATTTCTATGGTACTCATTTTGGTGTTCTCAAACAGGAGAATTAATGTTGGTAAAAGAAAGGAACTCATTTCCCAAAGAAGAAAAAGCTGAAGTGATTTTTGGTCGGTATATCCCAACATGATTTATATAGTCGAGCACTGTACTATTTGGAGTAAAGTTAATAAATTCAGGAAAAAGGGACGAAGTTTTGGGTTCTTCTACTCGCTTTGGAAACTGCTCCATCGAACTATAGCACAAAAACGGCTTCCTCTACCCCTTTTATACATAAACTTAAGTTTAGGCTAAAGATGGCACGGCACATGCCTTCCGATACCTTGTTTCTCTACGTAATCCCACAAAATCACCAATTAATGCGTGAAACACATTTTAGACCACTAAGTCAGTACAGTTTAACCAGGTAGTTGACCCACAAGATTTTTTCGGGTACTTTTGGTAACACGCCTAAACATGCCAGCACCACCATTTTTGTTCCTCCCCAGATCGCTCTCGGCACGCTCCACTCGTACTCGCCCTAGTCCACACTCGCCGGAATCGCTCGCCGGCTTCTTGTTTACGTCCAGCAACCCAATCAGGATCCTGTTTACAGGCTAGCTTCACTGACGTTCGCTTAATCATAAATCACAAGTCGTGTTATACCCTCTGCATACTGCGTGAGTTCCATGTGGCTTTCTTCGGTCGCTCAAGAGACCATGATCTGTCATGATCTCCTGGTTCGCTACTACACGTTCCCATTGGATATCTATTTTCGCGCGTTTTCTATCTTCCCTTTTCGTTCCCATGGTCCTTTCCCTCGCGCGCCCTTTTGCTCTCTGTGTGGGTTTGCCGTGTCTTTTATCATATCTCCGCTGGTTTTATTTGTTAACCCGCAGCTCGCCACTGTGCGTCCCCTAAATTTCGTTCTTCCTTCTTCAAGTGCTTTTGATGGTTTACACCCCATCTGCCCCTAGTAAACTCAAGCGCGCTACCTTGTCCTTTGAACACTATTCTTGGGCCTCTGTGGCTTTTAAATTATGTTTTTCCAAAGCCACCTTTTTCTCGTACCAAGGGCTCGCCGACTAACAGGGAAAGGCAGCTCTGGGCACAAGAATACAAAAAATATGGAAAGGAAAATAGCTCGTCTCGCTACGGAGAAAATACTTTCTGTTTCTTTTAGAAAACGCTACAAGAGAAGAGAGGAAAATTGCCTTGACCACTCGTTTATGTCAATTATCAAAACGTAAATTCTCTCCAGTTCGTGTCATCATTACGTCAACAGCATTCTGAACCTTGGAAGCTCTCCAGGTTTCGGTCGCGCTATTTGCTTTTATATGCAAGATTAAGAGAAACGTGATCCAAAAGAGATTCTCCCGGAAAAGGGTTTCATAGTACATTTGAAAGGTAAGAGGTTACCTTACTTTATA